AAGCAGTACATAGGGGATGCTGTGGGCTGTATTCGTCCTGACATGGCATTGCCATGCAGCTGGGTGTTCATCTAGGCTCCTGCAAAGGATCCAGGGCCCCACGATACGGTCATAGCACATACAAACCCTGCTCCCCACTGTCACATCTAGGCCCAGCTGATAGATTATAGGCAAAGAGTATTGAAGCGGTTAAGAAATATCCCTGTTGCTAAATACAAATCAGGTTTGCATTTGCATTTACTTTAATTAGAAATATTTGTCTTGTACATTGACATTGTTCCACTTAATGAACTTTCCTTTCTTTATACCATGAGAAGTGAGAGAGTGGAGGCAATGAGAGAGTAGAAAAACAAAGTGAATCAGGGTGAAGCTATATGGTGCAGTGCTTCAAAGGAAATAGCAAATCAGAGGTGTATACAGGCAGTCTTCACGGCGCTGGACACTGGAAAGCGTTCAGCAAACTTAGGGGCTGGTGAGATATTTCCCGCTGCTCTGCAAAGGATCAGTACAAGGGCTGGTGCTGCTGGGCAGTGAATTTTGCTGAGGGTTTCCCTTTGACAGGCATGAATGACTGTGTCCTGCAAGGAACATACCTTGAAGTGTCATAACCCTTCAGCTAGTGTTTCCTTCTGTAGTGAAAACAGTGGCCCATGGAAGCTGAGTTGCTTTGATTCCTCTGGAGGTGAAGCTGGTGCTTCATGAACTCCTTCAGCCTCTGTGGTTCTCAAGTGGGCTCCAAGAGGCAACAAGGAACCTTGAATCCAAAGATTAAAGTTTCCAAACTGAGAACTCTCTGATCCTACAGTTCAAGCCCCCACTGTTTGCACAGCATGTAAGCAGCTGCAGTTTAAGGAAGACAGACGTATTTGTTCAAATGTGATTTGATTTTCTCTTTTTGCCCATTAAACCAAATGCTCCTGGCCAGAGAGAGCTCTTCTTCCATTCTTTTAAGAAAATACCATTTGACAAAGTATTTGAGGAGGTATTCCACAGAGAGTAGCCACCATTTCTTTGAACCAATAGGCCAAAACGCTTAAATAGATCACATAGCAAAGGTACACTTACCAGCTTTTTGTCAGTAAGTTTATCTCCTACCACTGTACCCTCAATAAGGCACACTGCAGGTGCATGGGCCCAGGAGAGCATGGGCCTTGGCTAGTGGTGTCACACCCCATAAGCTAGGACAAGTGACCCAATATGTTAGTCAAAGCCTCTTTTGCTAAATGAATGTCTATGTGTCTATGTGAAACATCCCTGATACTGTATCCCCAGCAATTCTCCCTTAGGAGGTGGCATCTCCTGCTGCCCTCAAACTGCCTGGAAAATTGGTGTCTTTCTACCTCTGCAATGCTTCCTATACTGCTCCAGACAATATTGCAGCCAACACATCAGAATTGGGTTCTGAGGTTGATACTGCACACCAGGGATCACTGTTTCCCAAAAGCATGCTCTGTTGTTACCCTGCAGCTGCTTTGGTGACTGTTAGACACTTCCTGGTATAAGCAAGTCTTCGTCAGCTGTGGTAGCTGGAAGAAAACAGGAAGACTCAGAAGATAGGAAAGCAGACAGTAATGACCGTGCATCTAAACAGTGAGTAGCAATCTTGAGGACTGCGGAGGGCAAGGCAGTGGCAATATCTGTAATTCAAGGGATGTGCCCACCTTCATCACAACAGCTCCGCTTGTCAGGCTGTCAGCACTGTATTGGTTAGCACCTGTAGGCAACAATGGAGCATCATGAACTTCTAGGTGCTATAGGTACTTGCAGGAGGTCTCCTGTGTGTATGTTCCTGTTGCTGAAGTGCACGGATCTTTGTCTTCTGCAGCCACGGGTTGCTCTGGGTCTGCAGCACCAGCTGCTTCTCCCTGACAATGCCTCTTTATTGCTCCCAGAACAACAATGTGCTAAAGGAAGCTATTCTGTGTTGTCCTCACTGAAGCAGCTACCCAGGCTTCTCTTTCCCTGGCTTCATGCTTGTGCTCTTTCCTGGGCAGCTGCAGATGAGACAGAGGAACCTGTGATTGTGGCCACTAAAGCCACTGTCACAGCTGTTGACTAGCGCAGTGCTTGGCTTGCGGCCAGCTTGCAGTGATCAACATCACGTCAAATGTACACATGCCATGTGTGTAGTGCGTCTGCCTGACTATCAGACTGAAATGTGAGTTGCCTCTATGGTGGTTGTGGCTGTTCACTGGTGCTGGCTGTTCAAAGGAGTCAGATCACGAGGTGGCAGGAGAACTTCCCAGGATTTTTCTTGTGTGATCCTGGTGGGGCACAGCAGTTTTCAGTTGCTTCATGGCCCACATCCAACTGCTAGAAAAATGCCACCGTGAATGGAGGTCAGCGCTGTTATAAGCAAGTGAAGCCACCAGAGGAAACCTTCCTTATCTGAAAGCACTAACTCACTGTAAAATGAAAGCTACTAGGATGCCGCCATTGCATGCCTGCTCAGATGGCGCGCTTAAAATGAAGTACATCATCTTGATGTAACCCGAAGAAAGCAGACAAGCTCTAAACCTTTTTCTGTATTGGGCTGGCTTGGGTTGGTGTCACTGAAATAAATGGGCTTGCACAAGTAAGCTGTTTATTCATTGCAACTGCTCTAGACTGCTTTTTAGAGAGGTGTTGACTTGTTTGACGTGATCCCAAAGCTAGAATAATTCTGGGCACGACACTAGAATTTAGCTTCTCTTTAGCAAATAAAATTATATAGGCATTCAACAGTCTGGGAGTACTCCTGCCTTTTTGCATCAAGGTTCCAGCTATAAGCTGGTGGTGAAGTCTAACAACATTATTTCATTACCACAATATCTGGGAAAAAACTACCTAGGATTAGCTACCAATTCCAGACTAATTATGCTAAATAAAAGTTGTGTTGTCTTCCCAGTTCTGTTCCAAGTTATGGCCTAAGTACAGAATGGCAAGATTTGTGTATTGCCATAAAATGCCACAGACCAGAGTTACGACCATGTCAGGGTATGGAGGCTGAGCTGCCAGGACTGCTGAACACCATCACAGTACTCAGAGATGCTGCTGGGCCAGGAGACTGCAAATTCCCTTAATGCTAATTCAGAAAGCCTGCCAGCAAATGGCTGGAAAATGAAGGACATCTATCTCACTGCTTCATTATTGCTGCACAAATGTCACAATTCTTTTTCCTCAGCAGCTCTGTGAGGAAAATGATAACTTAAGTGCATGAAAATAAAACCAGGCTGCCACTCTGAACACTGGTAGAGCCAATGCTGAGATGAGAGTAATAACTGGGAGCAAACTCCTTTCCTCTGTTTACAATTTTCTTGTCTTCATTTCATTGTCCAGCTTTCTTTGTAATGAAAACCAAAATTTAATAAAAAGAAGCCACATTTGCTGAGTTTGACTATTGTGAATTAGAATTACTTTTTGTCTTAGCTGCTGCTTACTTTTTTGCTATACATTACATAAGACCACAATTTCAATCCTCTCCCAAACTGCATGAAAGAAGACTACGTGTGTGTATGCATGTGTGTGTGTGTGTGTGTGTTCAAACTGTCTTTTCTCTGTGTGTGGTGAGAGCATGCCAAGCACATTGTCATCATTACCAAAATACAAATGAATAAAAATAACACAATATGCAATAATCTATTTTACATGTGCATGGGGTGTGCACGCAGATCGTATTGGTGCAGCTTAGCAGCCCAAGCTTTAAAGCTTTGTTCTGCAGTGTCTTGACACAAAGCTTTCTGTAAACTATGTTGTACGCTGATGCCTTGTTACTTAATTTTGCAAAATATCAAGACGCCATGTATCTTCCCCATGTATCTCCCTGGGTAAGAGGAAGCAGGTATTAGGATCTTTCAGTAATGAGTGGCTCCGTTGGAGGAGTGGAGAGAAATACAGCAATTAGAAATTTGCAGTATCTGGTTCATATTGAACATTAGCCCTAATTCTGAAAATACTTGTTGTATGATGAATGAACACATTTTCAAAGTTCAGGGCCCTTTACTGTCCTTCCCTGAACTGACATGAGAAAACAAAACCCTGGGCAATTTTCCTTCTCCAAGGCTACTACAGCTTCTCTCTGTTCTCTCAGGAACATAGGATTTGCTTGGACTCTCTTAAAAATAATATCGTAAGTATAAACAGTTAAAGGTGGAACCTAACCTACCACATCAGCACTGTTTGACTCCATGCTAATGCTGAACTTTTCTTATGGCTGACGGTGCAGTTCTTCTTTGAATCCTAGCAGTTGTCACAGTCCCTTGGGGAATTGTTATTAAAATGTAAACGTTGCTTAATACTTAGAACCATGATAAGTCTCTGTGGAACTATAACATTACAGGCAGTTTTGCACAAGTGTCTTTTAAATGACAGCAGAGCACCCCTCTTTCTTCCATTCAGAATTGATTAGAAAACTCCCTCACACGCATCTTCCCTGCTTTTAAGCTAGAACATGATGTGTTTTTCTCTCTCTTGAATAAAATATATTTTAAGGAGGTGTGCGCAATGGGTTTATGCATGTGCTAAATTGGAAAATATTTATACTTACATTCAGAACATGTTGGGGTTCACTCAGGGGCGTACACTGTATGTACTTTGGTATACATGAAAGGAACAGAATAAGAATGTATTTACCATATATCTAGACTGGCATTTACTATGGCTGAACAAAGCAAAAATAAAATGTGCAAGACTACATTTCTGACAAGCTTTCTGTTGGAAAATGCGCAGTAAAAGTGTGTAAATATCAAAATTCTGAAGAAATCAAGCCTATTTTGCTGGCTGGAACTTCTCTTTAAAAAAGTGAACAGGAAAATGTTTGAACCATATGAAGATTTTCCAATCAATATTTAAGCTGAAAATCTACAGTGTTTCATAAATGACTTTTCTTTTCAAGTATTAAGCATGTGTACAATATACCTTATTATAGATATATAATGCAATATAACTGTTGAAAAATTGACATTAATACAGGATGATATTAAGATGTTTTGACCATTCCAACACTTCCCTCTTCTCCCCAGGTCCTGGAATTTCCTTCCTGAAGAATTTTCAAATTTTGGGTTGTTGGCCATACAAAGGCATAAAAAGTGAAAATCCTTCATACAACTTAATTCCTGGCACTGCTCAGTAATAGTGATGACTGCTGTATTGACAGAGCTTTGGTGGTGGTAATAGATTGGATATAACTCTTCAAAGAAAGTGGAAGAAACTGATTTGAGACAGCCACAATCTAGAAAATATGTTTTAGGGAACAAGCTAGCACAAGACTAGATGCACTAAAATGGCTTTCCTATCTTTTACTTTTCTGATTCTGTGACACTGTACTGTGTGCTGTTAACCTATTAAAATAAACTTTGAGTGCTCACCATCGATTTCCAGCCTTACAGTCAGTAACAGCAAAATGAGGTGTGTTGCTCATGCTCAGACTGCTGCCTGGCACCAGCGGGTGTGCTGTGGTCTGACACTGTCAGGAGATCGTAAACCACCATTCTGAGCCTCCCTCCCAAGGCCACCATGTAATTTAGGAGATAACTACTGAGTAGTAAGATTTTCTTTTTCTCACCTTCCTGTGTGCCAGGTAGGGCAACATTTTCCATGAAGAAAGAGGATGGAAGCAACTGAAGATTTCAGTTAAATCAAATGCTGAATCACTTCAGTGCAAATGATAAGCCACACAAGTACTTTAATTTCTATGGCATTATCACCTTTGTCGTGGGAGGAAAGGAGTGCAGGTAGGAAGGTAGTGAATACAAGTATGCTGTCTAGAGTCTGGTCTTTTAAGCCGGGCTTCTGGCATACTGAGCAACTGGCATGCTCTAAAATGGGATATTTATTGCAGGACCTGCAACTTCAGTCTGAAGAACAGATGGAAATCGTAATAGCAAATACATTATACAGAAAGGCTACCTCAGGAAGCTACCTGTGTACTTGTAACTAACACATACAATTGCCCATGGGTGAACGTGACATTTTCAGAATGTGGAAGAATTGCCCAGTTAGAGAAATCGTTCAGTTTCCATTACAGGAGGGTTTAAACAGCAAGAGGAAACCTCAAATTTTGACTTGCAGTATTTTCTTTGAAGATTCTTGTTAGTGTTTCATAAACAGACTGCATGAGATGTAGCAACGTTCAGGAAAGCCTGTTGTTCCTCAGTAATGGTTCAGTCATGCCTCCACTAGCAGAGGTCTGTCCCTGTACTTTTGTGTAATTCTGCCTTTCCTTTTAATAGCTGCTCACCATCCATCCCAGCAGCCACGCTGTTCTGTGTAGAGCTGCTTTGAAAATTTTTGAGGATGCTAAAAACTGCCACCTTTGAGAATCTGCTCCGTTGCTGTGGCATTTGACAGGAATGATGTGGCATAAGTGGAAACATGCAGAAAGAGACTTAAACATCTAGAGAAATTGCCAAAGGCATGCCAAGGAGGTAATGCCATGAATTTAGGCAAAAGCTACACATTAAGAAAGGTTTTCTAATTTGGGAGCCATTAGGCTTCTGCATTGCCAAAGAATTGGTGGAAATCTGTGTACAACTTTTATAAAAGCAGTTCTAAATATATGGCAGGGAGTAAGACTGGCCTGGCAGTAGAAGGATAGATGAGCTAATAGATCTTTTCTATCTTTAATTCTTGCGATTCATATTCCATCAGTCAGCACATGGTATAAGGAGAGGAAACTCGGTGCCTGCCAAATTGGTGCAGTTTTACATATGGGATTGTTTTCAGCAGTTAGTTCATGTCTGCCAGGAACCACTTGCATGAAGTCCTTAACCCATCAAACATGGGCACATTTCGGTGTGCAGGGCTTCATTGATACTAAGGGAAAAAAACATCCACCTTTTCAAGAACTTGTCGTTCTCCTTCCTGAAGGGCAGTGCTGCACTTTGTAAGCAAAGTGGTTCTATCAGCCCTGTAGTGTTGACTCCTTGCACTCAAAAATCACAGGACCTCTAAGCAGTTGTGAAACTGTAACATACTTTGGCTGCTTTGAATGTCCGTTGTAGCTTTAAACTTTTAGTGTTCACAGTTTTATTTTTTTTTTCTTCTTCAGGAACAACAAAGGCTAAACTCTTTTAGAAATAGCAAAGATCCCCATAACAAATGTATACACTGGGAACTAAATATCCATTGTAAAATCGGACTTGATTCTGGGTGTACAATTCACATACCTGCATGCATGCAAATGATACTTAGAGGCCAAACTAGGCCCTGGTGTAGACTTTCGCATGATTTGGAAATGCAGAATAAGAGCTGTAGTTTTGAGCCTGGACTGCTGGCAACCAGTTCAGTCCTTATATTTTAACCTGTGGTGATGGCAAGGAACAGCGTTATTCTGGACCACTGAAGCTGATCCGGGGATGGGGAAGAAAGAATTAAGTCACAGGATGGGATGAGAGTCTTTGGGTGCGTGCAGAGGTAGTTGGCATTTGAACATCTGGCACCTACACTTCAAAGAAGAGAAGACATTGTCACCCCACATTAATCTGCATGACACCTCATGGGATTGGGAGTCTAACCACAGCTCCCTAATGACCTGTTAGAAAGACTCCTCAGGGTCAGCTGGGGATGCGGTCTCGTTGTAATGGGCACTGTGCGACATGGCTTGGGTCATGTCTGCCTGGGTGGCTAAATCCTAGGCCCAGCATCAACAGCTTGCTTCTCAGTCTATTAACATGAGATGCCAGACAGACAGGTAGTGTTGCATCTTTTGAGACAAAAGAAGACATGGATAAGTGCGTTATAATAATTTATTGTCTCCCGTGAGATGCCTCTCACTCATGTCCAGAAATTCTGGTCTGTTAATATTCAGGAAATGTGCATGTTTGAGCAGTGTTTACTTTCTTGGCAGGTCCAAGGTTCCTCTGCTGCAAAATAATCTTGCAATGACAGGGTGTTTAAATGGACAAATAGCAGGCAAGGAAGTAAGCAAAGCCATCTGGGTCACTAAGGTGGAGATACCTCCTGTCCTACCCTTCCATCAAGCTGCCAGCTTTGCAGGTTTTGAAATAAATTTGTTTACCGACTCTTCTGTAAGCCCCAATGTCCATGGATTATCTCTTCTATTCATCTCGGAGCAGATACATGTGTCAAAATTTTTCAGTTTCCTATGCATGCTGATTCCAGGCTGAACTAGTCTGGATGTTAGGTATGCCTTCCAGGCATTTAAAATTACAATCTTGTCATTAAATTAATCTGGAGAAAGATGGTAACAGGAAATAATCGCACAAGGAAACTTTATTGCGTGGGGGACAAAACATCTCATTAAATCACTAGCTAAGAACTGTGTTAATGTTACTTCCTTTTTTGCAACGAAGTGGATTTTTTTCCTCCGCCTTCTATCCTTCTTCTGTGGAAGGCTGTCCTGCATGTTACAGTCCTGGATAGACTTTATCCATAAGCAGAGTGGAAGGCTAAATCTTTAAACCCAGCTCTCCTTGTGGAACATAGAAGGCATATTGAGGCTGATTATTCATTAATAATTTATTTCTCCCCGATAGCTATTTTTAACACAAACTCTGCAAACACTTGAGAATATAGATCAACCTAGAAAACGAGTTGTTCCATTGAAGTTAATGGGATAACTTGCATGAATAAAGTAGGTTTATGATACTATCTACAGACTGTGCTCTATGGCATGGGTTTTGCAGATGTGCAGTCTTAAGTCCTGCTCTGAACAGGTTCTGGTTAGAATAAAGCAAAAGCCAATTTAATCCCAATAAAACTACAGCTGTATCCCTTCGAGGTTTGAAAATTGGACAGAAGTTTTTTGGATTCTTTTTTAATTTTTCCTGACCTTTACTGGGCCCTGACATAACAGGGTGTGGAAAAGCAAAACATTAGGTCAGCAACCATTTTTTTGCAGCATTTTGCCTACACTGAAAACGATTATAAAATTTGCAAGAAAACCTCTTCAGTCATCTCTTTCCACTTTTAAATTTGGAGCACTTCTTTTGGAATACATCCACAACACAAGCTTGAGTTTTCAGAGGTCATTTTCAACCAGTGTAAATAGTCCTTAAGGACCTAAATATTTTGGAAGTGTAAGTAGTCCTTAAGGACCTAAATATTTTGGAAGTCTGCTCAAATCCAAAGCTTTTCTATTGAAAGTAAAAGCAAGGTTGTACCCCTTTAAAACAACCTTATGAACCATCAACAGAGCTCACTGGTTGGTAGGAACTATTTGCCATCTTCAGCTAGTTAGACTAGCAGTTTTCCTATTTAAATAGATGTCGTAAAAGTGATGATCTAGAATGTAGGCTGACTGTGTGAGCAGGTGGTCCGAGGGCTGGAGACCCCAAGGCACTGGACAGCTGTTTCCTGGGATGCGGCTCTGGAGTTGGGACACCTCAGCTTCCTGCCGTGGCTTGCCTCAGCCAAGTGCAAGGCATCAGCAGGAGGAAGGAAAATGCTTTTCCTGAAACCTGATTCTGGCATCTCTCAGGACTTAGAAACTCTCTGCAGAAGAAGTGGAAGCCCTGGGAATGGTGTCTCTGGCTGAAGCCTCAGACTCTTGGTTTGCAGGTATAAATTTAAGGCTCTCAAAACTTTTAAACTGCTAATTCATCCATAGCTACCAGTAGTTTTAAAGATCTGTCTCTTTTTCACTCCTATAAGGCTGTCAGGAATAGGAAAGGCAACAGACTCCATCACCCACAGCTGTGAGGATCCTTAGGGTTGCTGCCTTCATTTTGTGCAGAGTTCCTCTAAACAAAATGTTCCAGTTGTTTTGAAACAATATTATAGGAGTGTGGATGTTTTCCCTGCCACAGGAAATACAAAAGCATCCTACTAAGCTGCTGCTGTGGTTCCTCACACTGTTAGTAGAAGTTGAGTGGAAATAATTTTTAAAATTTTGAGTGTAATGGTCTGTATCCAGTTGTAGCTCCTGACTGATAGTGGTGCTAGGCAAGGAATTAGGTCTGGCCTATCACCAGGATATGAATGGGGGGAGCAGGGTGATGCTGCATGTGGGCTTTAGGTTTAGCTTAGTAACTGCAGAAAAGTATGGCACAGCTACACAATGAGCAAGGGTAAGCGCAGCCACATGATGTCACTTGACCTTTGTGGGATAAACACCAGAAAGTTCGAATGGAGGAGCTATTGAGGGCTCAGAGAGTTGTCAAGGCCATTTATTCTGTGAACTGTGCAGAAAAAGCAGTGAGGAGAAACTCAGAACTCCTGTGGTGTAATGGTGGGCTAATACTAGCTATATTATGGACATGGTTTTCCAGCTCATGCTCTAGTTTCTTAAGATGGTGAACTTACTGTAACACAAGGGAACAGAAGATGATTAAAAAAACCCAAACAGAATTCATTCACTGAGCTGCAATATTTGAATCACCAGTGCCCTGTACGACAATATGCTCCACTTAAT